CTTATAAGAGCTGCATTGCACTATTCCCAGTTTACCACGCCAGGAACATTTCTTAGCCCTGAGACATACTTTAGTCAATACTGAAATTCTTTCCGTTCATGGCACCACGCTTGCTTCAGCTCCAGGCATGGCCTTATGTGTAGTTCCCTCTACTTAAAACAAGCCTGAAACCAGCTCTTCCTCTTCTCCTACCTCATTCTCTTTTGCCTAGGTAAATCCTAAGTCTTCAAGTTTTCAGTTTAGACCTCACTTTTTCAAGAAAGCCTTACTGGACACCTATGAAAGGGTTATAGTCGCTCAGCATACCCAGGATTACTCCTATCATCACACTTATCACCCCATATTTTAAATGCCTGTAGATTCAGGTGGATCCTTCCCAAGGCAGTTAGCCCCATGAGGGCAGCGACCCAGGGTTTCTTGTCCATCATTATATCCATAGCACCTAGTACAGTGTGTGGCTTATGGTCGGCCATCATTAAATGTCAGATGATATTTGGATAGATAGATTTCATACCAGGTCACCAGTAAAGGCAGAGCAAGGAAACAGGAACCTAGGCACGTACAGAGCCACGCCAAAGGGATCAAAGGACCAGGATAGACACGCAAAAGAAGCACTGGGATGTAGAAAGGAGGCAGGCCAGCACTGCATTGTCCTACCGTCTGCAAGTCCTGAGACAGGATAGAAATTGAGGCCCACATATATCTAACTATTATAAAGTTAAGACTCAAGCCACTAAGCTGCTAAATAAAGTATATTTTATCCCCCTACCTTGACAAATATATATTCATAAAAACCTGAGGCGGCCAGACACCTCAAAGTTCTGTGCCAAAACTTGGGGGCACAAAGTGGCTCCTGTTCCACCCTCTTTTCTTCCCACTCCAGCCTGGTCCTGTACTGCAGGAATGTGGATGCCTCAGTGCCCACTGCCAAGCTCCATCTACACTTCCTAAAAGTAGTCATCCTGAGGCCACTCCCAGGCCCATATGGGTGTTGTCCATCCCAGAGGGAAAGAACTAGAAGAGAGACCTACTCAGGCCCTGGAAGTAGTTCCAGGGTCATTAGGGCATGGATATAGGGAATCTCAGGTATAGAAGTGGGAGAGGGAGAGCATAGACTCTGTGTGGGCTGATCCCCTTGGCCTGCAGGCTGGGGAGAGGCCTGGCTAGATAGGGTTGTGTCACTGCAAGCAGGAGATGACCTGCATTTATTCTAGAGCTCGTACTCCTGGTGTACTCCTAGTGTATATCTGTGAGGATATGGCATTAGCAAGGACTGTCTAATATGTATTTTTAAATTTCAAAAACCCATCTTAAAAAAATCCATTCAGGGACTGGCCGAGTGGCATAATGGTTAAATTTACACACTCTGCTTCTGTGGCCCAGTGTTCCCTGGTTTTGATCCTGGGCGCGCTCATCAAGCCATGCTGTGGCAGCATCCCACATACAAAAAATAGAGGCAGATTGGCACAGATCAGCTCAGTGGCAATCTTCCCACCAAAAAAAACAGAAAGAAAGAAAAAATGCTTTCAAATATATGAGTATACCTTAAAGGTTGTAGATGCATCTTTCCCAGCTAACCTCTTAATGGTTCATACTTCCAGACCATGTGACTCTCTGTTCTCTTGTATTCTGGCAAGCGATTTAAACTGGTGCCTAACGGCATACTCTTTCAAGCTAAAGCAGGGTTCTGAGCTGTGAACTGGTTTGAATTCTGAGTTGTTCCCTTAGTAGCTGCAGAGCCCTGGGCAGGATGCTTCATCTGCTGAGTGGAGGTAATAAAATCTTCCTCCAGGGTTGTAGTGAAAGTACATGAGGTTAAAGTCTTTAAAAGGCTTAGCTCAAGTAAAAGCTCAATAGATCATAGTGCTGTCATCATCATCATAATCACTGTCATTATTTTTACAGCTGTTATTCCTTATTGTCTGTAACTATTGCAATGACCTTGGGCAAGTCATGTAACCTCTCAGAACCTCAATTTCTTCATCCATAAAATGAGGTCCTTGGAGCCAGAGGATAACTAAGGTTCTGTCCACTTAAAAGCAGCAGCTTTTTGGAGTTCCTTCTTTTTCAGTTTGTATTAAACCTGAGCTTGACCCCTAGGCTACGTTGTAAATTGTTAATGGAGGTTAGCTACCATGCATATAGTGTCACCATGTGTTCTATTTTAAGCAAAGCTGAACTTGAAAATATGAATCTTTGTAAAAAGTTAAAACCTCTGGATTAAATAAGCAGTTTATGAAACAAGTATTTGCTTTACAGAAATATTCATTTTAGAGTTCCTTTATTCACCTGATCTTCTACTACTTTAAAAATCAAATTGGATTTACAAAAGGATAGTCAGTTTGCCTACACCTTTTCAGAAAAATGTGCAGAGATTTTTAATCTCTTTGAATCAGAGTCCTTTGAGAATTGATGAAATCTGATTCCATTCCCCCCAAAATGAACACTTGTTTGGGGGCTTTGTTTTTGGTTTGGCTGTATGCCAGGGATTCTTAAATTAGGATCCATGCACCCATTCTCTCAAAGAATTGTATGCAAATGTTTGCCCACTTGAGCTGACAGTTAGTCCTTCTCCTCTGCCGTGTTCTGTGCCACCTCATGGAACTGGGCTCACTTACAGGAGTCTGTGCTGCTGTTGGGCTGGGCCGGGGCAGGCCGGGAGCTGAGAGGTGATGGATTCTCTTGGCTGGATGTGGTTCAAAAGTTCTGATCCCCTACGTGCCCCAGTAAAGGTTTCAGCTGACGTCTGTGTGAAAGAGTTGTCAGCTGAGGAGCAGAGGAGTGGCCTGTCAGACTCAGAATGTCCCATTTGCCAAGTCTCACATGAGAAAAGTGAAGACAGGCCCCACTGGAAAAGAAGACCTGCTTTCCAAAAGATTTATTACATAAAGGTCATGTTGCATAACATGCGCCGTGCTCAGTAGACTGGACTCCTCCTTGATTCATTCACATTTCACAAGATAGCTAACTGATCTCTTTAAAAAGGAGGGAATAGACCGTGGAATAAATGGAGGGCCTTATATGAATGACAAAACAACCTGAGTCTTATTGGAATTCTGTCTTAGTTCTATAAGCCAATATTAAACTTTCTTCATAACCAGCCTGACCCAATAGTGTGCAGAAATCACTGAGGTTTGCACACCTAAAGACCTTATATATTAAAGTGAGGTCTGTATCCTCGTGTTCTAACCTGTCAAAATAGAACATTCTTGGTGGGTTGTGAAATAACACTTGCAAATCCATTTTTGGTTTCAAGTCATTTTAAGATATCTATCTTATCGCCTCAGACTTCACAGTGTGTCCTAGAAAATCCTGCTGTTTTCACAGTGATATTAAAGGCACAGTGAGATTTGGTAGTTGATTTAGATTTTCCTTGTGATTTCCCACATGATATAGAACCTCTTCATGAAGTCACTTGCTGCTAAGCATTTCAGACCTTTATTTGGCAGTAATGAGAAAAACAACTACTTGAAAATGTTTGGGAGTGAAACATGCATATTTAGATGTAGCTGACATCTGATGTGTAGTTTTTCTTGTATGCTATGTAGGTGCAAGAGACTCTCTACCAGTGTAAGGATGGTACCCTGTTCTTATTTCCGCAAGGCAGGATAGTGGTTAACGTACAGACTCTAGAGCCAGCCAATGTATGTTTGAATCCCAGCTCTGCCACCTACCTGCTTTTTGACCTTGAGAAGGTACTTATCTTTGTGTGTCCTGTTTCCTCATCTATAAAATGCAGATAATAGCAGGTCCCTCCCTTACTGTGTTAATTTGAAGATTGAGTGAATTAACATGTGCATAAAGTGCTTAGAACAGTGTTGGCATACAAAAAAAAGTTGTATGTTAGCCATTGTTATACAAATGTGTAAAGATGACCAATAAAATTTATTTTAGTGTTAGAGGGTTCAAAAAATAAGTTAGTTTATCCTTAGTTTATGATAAGGCTTTACTTTGAGTTTATTCTTATCTCTGTCTTGAGAAAGCTCTAACTAGGATGGCTGCCATTTCTTCTGCTTTCTCTCTCTCTTTTTTCTTCTTTTTTTTTTGGTGAGGAAGATTGGCCCTGAGGTACCATCTGTGCCAATCTTCCTCCATTTTTTGTATGTGGGACACTGCCACAGCATGGCTTGATGAGCAGTATTGTGGGTCCATGCCTGGGATCCAAACCCACGAATTCTGGGCTGCTGTAGCAGAGTGCGTGAACTAAACCACTATGCCACCAGGCTTGCCCCCACCCCTTCTGCTTTCTTATATCAAGTCTGTGTATCAATCAGTGGATCCCATAACATCTGTGGGCTGAGGATCCTTGTGTACCTATAAATGGAAATGCGTACCAAGTATTTTGGTAGACTGAATACCAGGTCTCACATGTACCAAACACACTCTTGCTAAATTTATGTCAGCCCTACTATGATAATGAAATGTCTCTATTTTAAATGTTACTGACTTCATAACAACATTGTATATAATCAGTGAATACTAAGGAGAAGAAAACCAGTAATATGTGAGGAGTTCTTCAGACCACTTGCTGTGTAAAAAGTGTCTTTATACTTGAAAAGGCTGAGGGACTATGGTCATTCATTCATTTCAGAGTCTGTATTAAGTGCCTACCACAAGCATGACCCTGTTCTAGAAGCTTGGAATGGAGCACCTAGAACACAGTTGTTGCTGTCATAGACATTATATTCTAGTGAGAGGAGACATTGAACAAGTAAGATAAAACATGATAATTTTAGAGGTAAAGAAGTGGACGAGTAAATAAAATGGAGCAATGTAGTGGAGGGAAGGCCTTGCTGAAGGCCTCTACTGTGCCTCAACCGAGCTGAGACACACTGAATTGGGGGAAGAGAGTTCCATGCTGAGGGAACAGCAAAGGCAAAAGCCTTGAGATAAGAATGAATTTGACATGTTTGGGAAAGAGAACGGAAGCTTGGATTTGGGTTGGGGGCGGGGAGCCACAGGGAGACAGTACAAGGGGAGGTTTTGGAAATAAGCAGGGGCTACCTTGTGGGATAACTGTGGGCCATGGTCAGGTGTTTGATTTTATTCAAAGTGCACTGGAATAACATGATAAGATTTGTATTTTTAAACAGTTTGCTTGGCTGCTGTGCGGAGAACCAAGTGTAGGGGGCCATAAATGCTCCCAGAAAGCTCAGTTAAGAGCCATTAGCTGTCATCCAGATAGGTGTTGATGGCTTGGACTAGAATGTGGCTGTGACATGCAGAGAAGCGGAAAGATTTGCAATGTATGTTGGAAGTCAAAACAACAGGACTTGCTAAGAGTCCGGATGTAGGTGGTGAGTGAAAGGAGAAACCAAGGAATCACATATTTTAAGGTCTCAGTCAAGCGCTGCCTCCACAGTGAAACTGCCCCCAGCCATTTTAACCCACTTCCATCTCTCCTTTTGATGAAGCGGTTGTGTTTTGAGGCCATCATACGGGCGAGGCACGGTTCCAGGTGCTTGGGATACATTAGAGAACAAACCGGAGATCCCTGCCTTGTGGTAGTTGTATTCTCCGCTGTACTTCCTCTCTCTGTGCCTGGAATTCACGCGGAATTTTATCTATCTTAGTATTAGTCTCTAATCGTTTCAAACAGACAGTTATCTTCTTAAGGACCGGGGACTCCAGTTTTCAGTTTACCATGACGTCCAGCTCAGTGCTGGGGGAGCAAAAGTACCAGTGAAAATATGTCTTTTTCATAGATAACTTCTTATTTGTATGCTTGCCTATTTTAAATAAGTACATTTATGAAAACCTAAAATTGTAATTCACGTCATTGGAAAGGCGATCATTTTTCCATTAAAAAAGGATTATTTACTCACTCAAGAGTTATTTTAAAATAAGGGGCTACCCTAATGAATGTAATTAAATGTTTGTTAACAGGTCGTTGTGTATTTGTCAGGGGATGCTGGAAAGGAACTGAAGCTAGAGTATCGGGGCCATATTCAATTGTAAATTACCCAAAATGAAGACAAAAGAGCTGAAATTTAGAATTGGAAGTGAAAAAGAAAATAAATTCTGATTTCTAAAAATTCAAACATAGACACAACTTTATAGAGGACTTCCGTTTTCTAAATTTGCAATTTATAATCGACAGTTATAAACTGATTCCTTAACCAGACCACATTCATCTTGGCAATGAAAAGTAATCATTTGAATACACAAGAAAATTGGTTTCTGGTTGTGGCTTTCTGAGTATGTCTTAAAATATAAAGAAGAAAACAAAATTCGTGGTTTTATGTTTTGCAAGGAAGACTGAGCATCTTCATAAACATTCATAGGATATTGGCTCCTTTTCAAGACCCCTTATCATAATGCTGGCATTGAAGTGCTATTGCTAGTGTAAGGTTCTATCTAATACATGTATTCTGTGGGGTAAGTTTTTGAGGACCATCCCAGGAATCCATGACCATTTATGACTTTGTTTCTATGAAAAATGCTTCTGAGTTCTAGAACACTAACTTCAAACCCAAAATTAGGAACACACTCTGTTCATAAAGGGTCCTCTTAAACTTGTTTCAGTAATTCTCATAATCCATTCAATCTTTGAAGACCATCATAGTTATCAACGGGAAAGAAAACTTTTAATCGGGTGGTATGCAGCAGCACAATTCTTATAATAAGAATATAGATGCCTTTCCCTTTACCTCGTTTATTCCTTCAACACTTTCATTAAGTGCTTTCTCTGAGCAAGGCACTAGGCAAACAGCAGTAACCCAGAAGAGCTTATAGCTCCTTGGGGAAAAAAACACGTATACAATAGAATGTCTGTCTTAAGTACTGTAAGAGAGGTGTAAATGAAATGTATTGCGGGTTCAGAGGAGTGCAAGATACTGTCTTCTGATGGAAGTGGGAAGTCTTCCTGGGAGAGATGGCATTTAAAATGCCACTTGAAAATGGAGAGAATTTAAAAGGGGACAGAAAGGGAAGGCATCCTGGGAGAACAACAGCATGAACAAAGTGGTAGATCTAAGAAAGTGTGTATGTGCAAGCACCAGCCAGTGCTTCATGCAGTGAACACGTCTGGAACAACTACTAGGTGTAAGGCGTGCCCTACGGAGCCAGAGACAGAAAGAAAAATAGGATTTGGCCCTTAACCTTAAGGAATAATTCAGTTTAGTATATCTTAGAAAGTGTAAGAAAACGGTTTTCAGTTAAGTTTGAAGATGGTGATGGGTGCTAAACTGAGGCATTGGAACCGTATTCTACGGCCATGGGTTTGGTCATGGTGATAACAATGCTTATCATTTACTAAATCCTCCAATGTTCTATGCACTTTAGTAAGAATTTACACACATTAGTTCCTTCAGGTCTCCTTATGAGATATGGCTACTGTTTTATCCCTACTTGTCAACCGAGAAAACTGAGGCTTAACAATTCAATTAATTCATTTAATGTTGCCCAGCTGCTAAGTGGTAGAGTAGGCATTTGATCAGGCGTATTGGATTTCAGAGCCCGTAACCCACTTAGGGGAGCCATGGAAGATATTTGAATAGGAAAATGATCGATTCAAGCTGTCCTCCTTAAGAATTCACTTGACTACAGGGAGTATACGGTGATTAAAGAATTATACTAGTGAACAGCTAATGAGGACCTAAATGAAGGTAATGGTAATGGATGTGAAAAAGGGAAGGCCCATTCTCCTACTGCTCTCAGTACATACATGCACCATGGACCCGTGGTTCTCAAACATCGGTGTGCTCTAAGTCACCTGGAGGGCTGGGTGAAACACAGATTGCTGGGTTCTCCCCCTGAAGTTTGTAATTTTGCAGGTCGGGGATGGAGCCTGGGAATTTGCTTTGCTAACAAGTTCTCAGGTGATGCTGATGCTGCTGGTCTGGGGACCACACTTTGTGTACTGCTGAACTAAACTAAAGACCTTTGAGAGGTACCAATAAAGGATTTGGGAGTTTGAGGATGGACTAGTGTGCCAGACCTAGAAATGTTCTGGAAAAATACTCTAAGAATCAGGCATGATTTAAGGGCAGGCAAAAAAAGAATGGAATATTTTGCCTAGTTCCATGAAAGAAAAATACTTTGAAGGAAGCATTGACATAATCTGAGACTTTTCTTAGGAGAGTTCTATCATAGGTATAGATTTTAAAAAATAAAATAAAAAAGTGAAAACCACGGCAGTGACTATAATTTTATTTTAATCATGAAGAGCTAAATATTATGAACAAGAGGCATGCAATTATTATTTGGCAAAAGTAAGTATAGAGCTAGCATACTATGTTCCATTTAGAATGCTATTTTGTTATTATTCATAACAACAACTGAGGTCATTGGGCCTGGAGATATGCACCATTTCTAAGAGCTGGTTTTATAATTACCATTTTGATTGCTGCATCTAATTATTCCCTTAGGTTTACCTGTCCTGTCCGTAATAGTTACCGTGCAAATCATAAGCAGATATACGCAAACTCTGAATCTGAGTGGAGGTTAATTTGTTCTCTATGTCGCTAAAGTGTTGCCTGTGGTTAGCAAATGTGCTAAGTTGCACAACCAAAGGTGCAAAATCCTTCCTGACATTTGCAAACATCAGTCCTTTCAAGTTTCTTTCGTTCAGTCAAATGTCCACTAAGCTAACTCATCAGTATCAATGACAACGAGCTTAGCATAAGCAAAACAGCCATTCAGGCATAGCCACACTGTGTAACATGGGTACATCAGAAGCCTTATTTTGATCACACGGTCAGATGCCACTAGATGGAGAGTGAAATTAGTTAGATATATGAGTAAATATTGTATCATTTTGGTTCCAAGCCTACACAACTGCTAATTTTACCATGATAATTCTTCCATATAACTTAAATTAGGTTTTTGAATCAAAATACATAAACAGCTCTATTAATGTTATCAACATCAAATTGTTGTCTGCTTTAGTCTTTTGGATTATATACTGTGAATCTTTATTTAAAAACCTAAAAGTCTACAGGAAAGGAAACGAATTTTTCTGGCCTAATGGTATGCAAATAAATTATTCTAGACAAACAGAATGTAAATAAAGTTCATATTTCAGGAACACATTCCCATTTAAAATAAAAAGCAATTTTAAAGTAAAGGTTTAGTTGCCCAACTAGAAAAGAAATAAACAATCCCCTTAAGTCTAAGTGATACCAAAAATTCCAAATTGTCATAATAAATAAATATTTTTGAGAGACTAGAATTGCTTCATTGGGAAGGAGAGGTGGGTGTCAGATGATTGATTTCATTTTTACCATGGAGGATTGGTAGTTTCTGAGTAGCTAGAAGATACTCAGAAAAAACTACATGAAAGAAAGTACCCTGTCAGTCTTTTAGGATATATTTGGCTCAGTGTCGTCAGAAGGTAGCCTGTCCTCGCCCTGGAATCGAGTTGCAAACACTATCCTCAATAGTAATTAGAGCTAAGCGGCAATTACAGGACGTATGATTTGTTCAGCCGCACTGCCTGCCGGCTGTTTCCTAGCACCACATTTCACAGGAGCACCAGGTTGAAATGATGGAATTGTTTCTCTCTCGGTGTAACACCTCGTCTGGTGTTCGAATGCAGCAGTGAACGTGGTCTGAAATCTTAAAAACGAAGGTAAGCGTTGCTGGCTGATTAGCATTTACACCTCAGGGAACTTTTTCATGAAGTATGTGACAAAAATGTAAAACAGTTCAAATCAATTTCAGAAAAGAGAAAAAGTATCAGAATTAGAGCAAATAGAATTTGCTAATTTCAGGACTCCCTTGCCCAATATCATCTTGGTTTTCCTAACTTGTTTTTCTTTGAATTGTCATATTGAGTTACTTTGCTGAATATAATGGAGATGTGATTGAGTTCCCACATTTCCATTATGTTTATAAACTATAGTTCCTTTTTCTTTCAAAGTTTGTCTCAGAATAACCACTAGTTAAAAATGAAGTTCATATTTAAACCAAGTATGTTAGAACTCTCTCTCTTCTCTTCAGGAAGTGTATTTAAGCTGATGATTGTGCATCTTCAAAATCCACATTCAGGCTGACAGAATAGTGGCTGGTAGCCTGTAATAAAATTGAGTGACGTGGTGAGTGATTTGCACTCTTGTCACATGATTTTTATGATAGACAATGTTTCAGGTTTTTAGTGTTCCATCTAGTTCCAGTCAAAACTCAATGGCTCAATGTTTATTTAGACCCTTGGGCATAGAAATCTCTCTGGAAACCAGGTAAGTGCAGCTCCTCAAGGGGGAGGATTGTTTGTCAAGAAGACAGATATATTTTGTATGTGTACAATAGATATTTGTGAAATTCTCATTTTGATTTTGATATTATCGCTTTAGTTTTCCCCACTTAAAAAATCCTTTTTCTTTCAATTTTGCCACTTTTAAAACATGGATAAATATTGCTGTTAGGAAAGAGCTTAGAAACTCTTGGCACTAGGAAGACGTTTTATCTCATAGTCCCCAGCGGGATTTCAGGTGGTTTGGAAAATATTGAAAGAGTGGTGACTTCTTTTATTCTGCCTCACTGGTGCGTTAGAGGTGTAAAAACTGCAGGTTCAGTAGACTGTTGCAAAAAATGAGGAAAGCCAATGTGCGTTAATCTTTACAAGGTCCAAAAGACTCTGTGATGTGAGATCTCTTATCAGACGCTGTCCGCAGAGTAGTTATCACAATTAGCCTAGTACCTGATTTTGGAAGAAATTTTTTTTCTAGCCCTGGGTCCATCATTGGCTTCATTTCATATGTTTGCTTTCTCATGGGATTATTTATCCCTGAGCATCATTTTCTTCATCAGAAAACTGTGGGGTGATCGTTAGCCATGTAACAGTTTAGAAGTCTACTTAATATATGTAAAAGCACCTTGTGCTCCCCAATGAAAATTTACAGTGTTTGTATAAGCCAGGATACTGATGATGAACCTCTATAAAAATATACCGTTAAATTCTATGGTGGATTTAAGTTCTTAACTTGTCCCACTACGTCACACATATGGCAGATACTATTGTGTAAGCACACGTAAAAACAATCCTCAGTTGTTGCAACTGACATGACTACTTGAGACATAACCAGACATAAGGCGTTAATTTGTTTTATCTTGCCACAGGCACAAACTTGTCCTGATATTAGCAAAATCTTCCTATTAATCTTTTGATTTATAGAAGCACGTATTGAAAACAAAATTAATACAATATAGCTGCAAAACAAGGCAAATGACAAATTTTATGAGTGCTTTCTAGTTCCCTGGAAATATTATAGTGTGAGACAGAGACAGAGACAGAGACAAAGAGATGAGAGAGACAGAGGGACAGGCACATACACATACAGAGATAGGAAGACACAGAGACAGAGAGATGCCAGAGTTATGAGACAGACAAGAGAGATGAGAGGCAGCAAAGACAATAGAGAGAGATAAGAGAGAGACAGAGAAAGCGGGTATTAGAGAAAAAAAGTCAATCAAAGTATGGAAACAAAGATTATGCAATTTTGGAACTTTGGATTCTTTTTGCATTTTCTTTCACTGGAAACATACTTTGTCAAATTAAATGCATTGAGCACCAGGTCCATTTTTATGAATTATTTTATGAATTATTTTATGTTTTATGAATTGTTTACTTTCCATTTGTGTCCTTTAAAGCAAAGGGAGCTTAAAAGGCTGTTTGAAGTTTAGAAGAGACCAAGAGTCAAAACAAATGTTCTTCTAAAAGAAAATATTTCCATTCCTTTGTTGCCTTATAAAGCAAACCATTGAAAAGGAAAATGATGAGTGCTGTGATTAAATTCTCTACTCTCCATGTGGCTCCTTATTAAAAAATCATTATGTCTTTGACTTTTCGTGTTCATTGGGAGAGTGAGAAGGAGTTATTTGGGAAGCCAACAAGAAATTCCACAGAAGAAAAACTGGGACAAAGTTAGTATCATGGTATAAGGATAAACATGAAACAGGGGGCACAGGGGACAGGGGCAATCGTTTATGATGAATCACTTCTAATGCAGAATGTCCTTGAGCATTCACTTGAGGGCCTTATCTGATGCTATTTTGCATATCACTAGTGCCCCAGAAGTTGTCTGCATGATTAAAGCAAGTAGCATCAATTTCTAGGATATCAGGACAATGGCAGAGTTCCAAGAAGCCAGGCCAGGGATTGGCCTTTGTGTTCAATACTGACTAAAGACCCTTTGGAGTCCAAGCATCCGCTTGATCACAGGATACTCCGTGTTTCTCAGGATAAGGGTGATATCATGTTGTATCCTGGTGGCTCAGCTTCTTTGTTTGAGGGAGTTACATGCTCTGCCTAACTAAGTTCTTCCTGCTTATATAGTTTGCTCTGCTCTACTTCATTCTGTACAGCTTTCTGCCATACAATCAAAAGATAAAAGGGAAGGAAATTATTTTAGGAGTGAACTCTTAGGAAATTCCAAATAAGGAATTGGTGCATTCGTCCACTCTGCAAAGTTAAGCTAAAATCACCACTCTTGTCCTTACTCTCCGGATCCCCCGCACCCTTTTCCCCATCCTAACCCTGCTCTCTTCCCATGACTCACGGTCGCTGCTCACCCCATCCCTGGCATGGCCAGGTTAGTCACTTCCTACCAGGTTTCCACGGGGATAGAATGGCCACTTTCATGTGGCTTACACAGCAGCCCTGACTGCCAGTTGGGAGCCATCTCTACTGCTCCTGGGTGGAAATTGTTTCTTGGCTGATGGAGAACCAAGAGTGGCCTCTTCTATGATGCTCACCATGATTACAATACTCCACTAGAATTTTCCCCGAACACTCTATAATGCATTAAAATTATAGTGGCCATGGGATACTTGTGCAAAAAGGAAAAAGGGTTACAGCACAGTTTTTACTGTTTCTATTTCTTCCCAGCTTGTGCTTTCTAGAAGCCTATTGCTTTTTTTTTTTTTTTTTAGCCTGGACAATAGTTTTTGAATAGCTTTGAAATGTTTGGTTAATATTTAAGCAAAAGAAATCTCTTTTCTCTCCCAGGGTGGGAGTACAGAGCACTAGCAGAGCAAATATGAACTCTCTTTCTTTAAATTGAGCAAGCTTGCAGGGAAAAATGTCTTTTTAAAAAAACCATTAAGTAAACCACTATTCCTTTTTTTTCTTTTTTTTCCTTTTGGTTCTTAAATGCAAATAGCCAAAACACTGAATACAAGAATTGAAATTTTCTGAAACCAGGGGGCAAAAAACATTTTGTGTCCCGGAGCTAGAATTTCTAGCAGCAGCTGGGTGCCTTGACCTCCGGAGTTGCTGTATGTGGCCCCTTCAGCCCGGCCGTTTGTGTGAGCCGCAGAGGAGAGGCCTAAAGACAGAGCCAGAGACCCCAATGGCCCTGCGGCTTTGATCTGCCCCAATGGAAGGTCAGTTGTCGTTGCTTGGAAAAATGTGTCTTCAGATAGCATTTTTACTGCAGTCCTGATAGTACCTCAGTATAAAAACCACCAACAGAAATGTGAGTGTGCCTCCTGCTAGGAGGCTATTTGAATTAGTTATATTGATCCAAACAGTATGGCTAAAAGCATAGTTTTAATGGGGTTCATCATTCTCTTTTTTTCCCGTTGAGAATATTAAAAGAATTATTTAAAATGAGGTGTTGCAATCAATCCTCTGCTGTTCTTTAAAATGGAAAGAAATGTTGGCTCTTGGCCACACGGGCTTTTCTCTTTCATTTAATTTTTCTTCCATTATTCATATTAATAAAACTCTAAAATTAAAATCTCATTTAAAAATGAATACTTCTAAATTTCAGTCAAAATATAAAAAGAAAACGGACCAAATACTAGCCTATTTAAATTTCTAAAGAAGATAACGATTACAATATATGACTCTTACACATCTTTGGTTGTACAGACTTGGCTACTGGAAACAGTGTCCCTGGGCAAGAAGCTCCAGGCTTGATCCCTGCGTCAGTCAGGTACCATGCTGGATGAAGTTCTCCTCATCCCATTTTTCTCACATAAAATGAAGGGTAGATTCCTAAATTATGTTTACCTCTAAAATTTTATGAAATATAATTCCTCTAGAAATATTCAGTGGCTTGAGAAACATAGTAGTTGCCTTTCTTAGGAAAGTCTGTACTTTTGGGAAGGTTTCTAAGATAAGTCGTAGTTCTATGCCGCCATTAGGACCTACGTCCCTAGAGCACTAAGGGGACAACAAATAGGTCCTCTGTTTGTAACAGAAACAGACCTCGTGGAAGCATCTTGATGCCACAGACAGGAGTCACTGGGCAAATGTAGCTCAAGACCATCTCCCTGGGTCTTTTTGCCAGAAACTTTCGTCAGGTTACCGTGACCTTCCAGTCCATTCTCGACCTCAGACAATTTTAGTAAAGCTCTGTCTGGAGATAATTTTGGCTTCTCTAAAGACTTAGTAATTCAGGAGCTAAGCACATGACATTCCCTTTTGATAAGTCAGGTGTATTAAAAACTATTTCAAAAAGCTTGACAAAGCATTTGTCAGAACCCTGTTTTCCCTTCTTTGAGTTTTCTTTCTTGCATGCTTAACACTATCAGGTTACAAGAGGAAAAACTATAACAGAGCAAAACTGTTTTAAATTCAGCTTAAAAGAAGACAAGTAGTCCTCAAGGCTTTGTGTGTGTGTGTGT